TGGTGGAGCTACTCATTACTGAGTCCTTTTTTTGACACTTTGATTTCTGTTTTGGGGGGTGTTTCGGGGGGTTTTGAGCTATGGTCTATGGCCCCCAGCTGTAATGAACTTGGTACTGCACCATAGTTTTTTAATATTTAATCTCAATAGTTCAGTGTTTACAATACTAATATGATTGTATTTTGATGTTTTACTATATCATTGTCTTAATACTGCTCTATTGTTGTAATATTATGCAGTTTAATGTCAATAATTGTATTGGCAATGTGGCCTCTTTCTGCACACATACAAACCAACCCCTGCCACCACATTCTGCCACAGCTCCATTGGTCTAATGGTCTATGTCATGGACTTTCATGAGGGAGATCAGGGTTCAAAACCCAGCTAACGCAACTTAAACAAAAAATCTATCTCTTCAAACTTCATATTGTCACACAGTTACCTTAATTACAAACACCTGCTGATGTGACAGGCACAAGCTGGTATAGCAAACACATTTGAACTTGGTCAAAGTTCATTTTGCAAGTCCAATGGTGCAGGCAAAGCCATGCTGCAATCACATGCTACATGGCAATGCACACTTGTTTTTACATCGTAAAAACCCATGTCTAGTTTGTTTATTTTGTTTTGCTTTGTCACGTCTAAAAAAAAGACAAATAACAAATAAAAAGGAAACTTTCCAAATAAGATGCCCCAATGTATCTATAAAAAAATGTTGAAAAGTTGAAAAAGTTTAAGTTGAAAAAAAAAACCTACTTAGTTTACCTGCAACTCCTCAGACTGAAGATGTCTCTTGGAGAAAATACATTTTTTTTCCAACAGAAAAAGAACTTGTCCAATTTTATTTTCATTTTATTTTTGATTTTTTGACTTTCAAATAAGTACTTGACAAATCAATAATGTACCCATCTACATATTTATTTTTTTTACCAGTACGGAACCTAATTTAGTAAATCTGTTGTAGCAAGTAAAACTAAAGGCTGTAGGGGATCATCAGACGAAAAAAAAATTGCAAACATAATCAGTCGTCTTTAAGCAATTTGCAGCATCTCCACTCAACAGAATTTCTTAAATTTGTCTTCACAGCATGCAACAGCTTTGATAAATTTCATTATTTATCCTTGTTGTTTTTTTAGTGTTTTGCTTTAATTCTAATGAAATTTGTAATTTCTAACTTKTATTGGGTTTCCGCCAGTGCACTTAAGATAAAGTAATCAAGCTCTGCCACCTTGTGGTCAAACTCAGTACTGCAACTATGCATCTGGTGATTGTGCAAACATGCTGCCACTTTCATGTAAAATAATTGTCAARAAGTCTTTCACCTTTTATTTCTTTTAAAATATGTTGATATTTGAATATAATTCACTTTTTCAAGGACATAAATTCACATTTGTACTTCTTGATAATTTCATTTCTTCTATTGCAGACTATTTTTGCACTAAATTATGCAAATTGATCTTCTATGCAGTTGTAAACAGATAAAATGACTGTTAGGTTTTTCAGACTGGGTGTGATCTGTTTGTAAACACTGGCCTTAGCTGCAGAAAAGCCCCTCCCTAAAATAGACGTATCTCCTAATGCCACACATAAGCACTAGAAACCTCTGCAGCTCTCTAATTACTCATCAYGTGCTGGGGAATCATGAGTGTTTTCATTTCTGTCTTCACTATGTGTGTTTTCATCTTGCCACTAATGTGTTATGAAAGCATTAGAGTTAGAGCTGTCATCACCTGAGATTTAATTGCACGCGAAGCTGGCGTAGGAGTCAACGTGTTTGTTGTTTTTAAGGAATATTACAACATCCGGACAGGCTATCTGTGACAGTTTTTGAGCTAAACATTAAAATCTGAAGAAAAGTCACATCAAGTAATAAAACTGTCACGATGTTAAGCTTTAACGTGCAAACCTGAAACTAAATAAAGATAAGTGTTGCACAATGAAAGGGGAAACAAAAGYCAGTGACATAACATCCTCTGCTTCCCGCCTCCTCACCCGCTGCCTGTTTTGTTTCCTGCCTGCTTCCACCAGGAGTTACGACCAGATGAGCGTTTCCACAGAGTGCAGCTTCCAGCCAGAATCCGACTGGGACTCTCACCCCGAGTACTCCTCCATGATCAACTTCGACATGAGTCAGCCGAGCAACCCCAGGTCCCCCTCTAAGCTTTTCAAGGTGGGTTTCGTGTTCAGCGTCTGTGTTTGTATCACAAAAACTGAAGCTTTTGTTTGAATTAGGCAAGGATAGGTCTTGCAGCAACTGGGTGAGGGTCAGTGCTTCTCTCTGGCAGACAGTTCATTTGCTGCTGTTGCTAGAATTCTTGATTCACACAGCTGAATATAGATTGTTGACTTATTAATGGATAGAGTAATGTGCAAAAGTCTTCAGTTCACTCAAGTGTCTAAAACAGGTTGCTAAAAACAGTTTGTGTTAAAGGTTTATGGGCATGTTTGATGTATAGATCRGTGTTGAGGGTTTTTAAAATTGAGGAAAAAAACTTTTAAAAAGATCTTGTAAAGCAAAACTTGAATTTTCTTGTGCTTTATTTTTTAATAAGATTACATGGCTGGAACCCATTTTTGTTTATCAATGCCTGAGAATTGAATGAAAGTGAATCACTGTCTTTTTTAGTGGTTTAATTCAATGCATTTAATTGCTGAGGATCATTAACCCTCTGTGAATCACTGCAGCAGCACAATGCGTGCTAAAACAAAAGATGTAAAGAAACACAAACTGTGAGCTTCATTAAAATATAAATCTAATAAACTAGAACACTATGCAAAACTCACAAAGAAGTGTTTTAAAGGCAGAATGACAAAATTGGATCTCATTAGAGTAAAGTATTGGCAGCAATATTTAGATTGGATGCTTTTTTTCAGTGTTGGATTGAGGGAATTATCCATCGATTTTCTTTACCTACCTTTTTTTTCTGGTGCCCATCTCCCAGCAGTCAMTGTGTGAGAGGCGGGTYGCACCCTGGACAGATCACAAGTCCGTCATTAACGACAACCAGTCACACTCTCAATCACACCAAGTGGTAATTTAGAGTTATGACATCTGGAGACAACTGGAGTGCCTGGAGAAAACCCATGCATGCACAGGGAGAACATACACCCAGAAAGGCTCCTGAGCATTACTGTCTTTTAAASCACTTTGAAGGAGGATGACTTGAAGCAAAGAGCCACAGATTGAGGCTTGAACCTCAGTCTGCTGCATTAAGTGGATGGAATGATAAACCACCTGGCATATTAAATGAATAAATGGGTTTAAATGTTAAGAGTTTAAGTTGTGTGGTGACAAATACTGTCTATAGGCATGTTTTGCTTCTGTATAGTTGGACACCTACACTTTTTTGACTCATTTATTATCTGGTTTCACCCTCGTATACATCTTTTTAAAGAGTGATTCATCTTCCACCAAGATAATGCACTTAAACACACCTCAGTGTGAGGATTCAAATGGAAACAAGGCCCCTGAGGCAGGTGGATGAAATTTTTACATAACTTGTAATTAAGCAAAACACAAGGTCAAGAACTCCTGAAAGAAAGTGCAGTTGGTGAAAAACGGAGCGAGCTCAAACCTTTGACTTTAACACAAACAATGCAAACTGAGACGGGATCGTGACAAAAGGCAACAAAAACCCTGGAACGATACGCAGAGGGAGGCAGCAGGTCAGATGTGATGATGTGTAAACAGAAACCTGAAAACAAAATCAGCTGAGAAATGCAGTGATACAACACAAGGGAACAAAAAAGCATGATTAACCTAACAGGAAACAGGAAATAAATCAATTTAAACATCAGCTAATATTAGATTCTACAATAGCTGATAACAAGACTCCTTTTTCCTAAAGCAGCACAACTTTAGATATGTTTTATTAAACATAAATCCTAATGTTTACATGAAATTATCAGTCATACATTAATAACCACAAGCGACTGCTCAGAATAATTTGAAAGTTTTGAATTAATGCCCAAAATATGATCTATATTCACTCGAAAGATGTCAAACAGCTCCTGCTGATTTGTCATATTTCCAAACTGTTTTTCTATTCAAGCTGTAAACAGGTTAGTTTGTTCGAGGTGACCAAAGTCAGACCTTTGGTGTGTTTATCCTCCAAGACCAGGTGCAAAATAACCGTATAGAGTGTCTTTACCCTGTGGACTTTATATCAAACCTGTCAGACCAGTTTTCTTGTTTTYATTTGTGTCGACGATACTTTGGAAGAAACGCTTAGTTTTTTACCACAAGTTTGACAATTTTCAGATATTAAAAAAAATCTGTTTTACAACAAATAGAAATAATGTAAGTAATACAATTTTTCTGCTAGTTTGTTAGATTTATTTTTTATACACAACATAATGACAACATTAGGTGATTTTAGAATCAAATCTGTTACAGTTTATTATTTTTTATTATTATCATCTCATATCAGAGCGTGAAGCAGAGCTTTAGCTGACAGATAAGGAAGTGGAGCGAAAAGCTCACAGATGTGGCTCAATACCTCCACCTACCTAACATTAGTCACTGCTGTGAGTAAACATAAGGTGAACGCTTGGAGGACTAATACCTAAAAGACTACAGGTAACCATTAAAGATAGAGGAATACATCCATTAAACCATTGTTTTTTAAACTYTTTTTTTCATCTGGTGGATTTGTGGATTTCTCAGAACAAACTGGAGGTAAAGTATCCCAGCTTTGACTTCATAGTAAAAATGAGACCTTTTCCAAAAGAACTTGAAAATCCGACGGCAGACTGTAGCTTCTGTTTGCTCAGTGAAAATATGTACGTTTGGCTGCATGTAAGTAAGCTGAAACAAGGTTTCATTGAGGTGTTTTATGAAAAAAAAAAGCTGGTTATATTGACATTTAACTCTCAGGTCAGTTAGAATTGAGTCTGGCTGAACTGTGTAGAGATTTACTTCCTCCTTCAGCTTTGGTTTGTTTCACCTTTGACCCGTTTTACTGGCTATGTCTTATCTAAATGACCAGTTTAATGACTCTACCAATAATGAAACCAAATTCTTTCATGTCAGCTCAGTAGATAACAGATGGCCTATTACTGTGAGGAGTTTTTGAACGAGGAAGGGTGCAGTTGTGCTCTGCAGGGATTGCCACACCCTAATGCTGCAGGATTTTAAAAGCTCTTCGCATTATTTTACCATATGGACTTTTGGATTAGGTATGAGTCAAATAGAAATGCCTTCAAATCAGACAAACGCTTCAAGAAAGTGATTATTTACAGATAGCCACTTCCAAATCTGGCAAGCTGTAGATAGAAAATGTCTTGTGAAAACTTAACAAGACTTTTTGTGACAATGAGTTTACTCAATCTGATTATTATTTTTTTTTTTAGAATTTTGAAAAGAAACTGAAAAATAACTTCTTGAATCCAGGAACAAAACTGTTGCTGGTTTTGACTTTGTCTGCTCTGTTCTTCTTTTGTGTTCCATATTTCGTGTCTAAACATGTCTGTATTTTGTGACATCATGATCCAGATTTTGTAACTCGTGCATTAAAGCAGTGAGTTTGTGTTTTATAACACTTGAATTAGTTCATTTAATATAACAAAGTCATACAGTCGCTGCTGTTAATTTACACTGAGCTCTAGTTCAGTATTTGACACTAACATTTAGGAAATATTTGTATTTCCTAATTTGATCTACAGTACAAGCCTTTAAATTCAGCTTCCTCTAGTTGCTGTTGTTTTGCATTTAGAGGTAATAAATGAACTTTGAGCTGACGAAGTTTTTAATTTGTCTGGTAAGTCATTCAGCTTGATGTTTTCCTACTRTACAGGAGTGTCTATTCATCTCTTCCAGCACTGTAAGATGCTACATTTTCCTTTTCTTCAGTAAAAATAGCTTTTCTTCAGGGTATTAAACAATAAAAAAGGTAAAATATACAAAATATTGTTAAAGGGATCCATGATTAGTTGTAACATTAGACTTTATTTAATAAACATRTATTTTAACTGTAAAATAAAGACTGTAAAATACTGTAGGATGTTCAGTTTTTATCATTTTTAAACTAAAAGTTTAAAAATATATTACACGTACGGGGCCATTTTATTTACACGCAAAGCATTCTGGGCAAAATATGACGCGAATAGGTCATCGGTGTGAGGCTGCCAGCGAGCTATATCCACCCTGAAGGTTAATCTTGGACAATATCTGATGATCGACTCTTTTAAATGAAACCAGAGAGCGTTGACAGAGAGGAGAAGGTAGAAATGACTCAGCCTGTAACTGAAAATATGGATGGAAGACAACAGTTTAGCTTGTTTGCCGCACTAGCACCGAGCTAATACATATAAGGCAATATAGCGTCAGTGCTAGCACAAAGGCTAACAGGTTAAGCTGGGGTTCTTCTTCCATGAAGCAGCTCTGTTGTCCTCCATCYATATTTTCAGTTCCAGGCTGAGTCATTYCTACCTTCTCCTCTCTGTCAACGCTCTCTGGTTTCATTTAAAAGAGTCGATCATCAGATATTGTCCAAGATTAACCTTCAGGGTGGATATAGATCGCTAGCAGCCTCGCACCAAGGACCTACCCACATCATCATTTACCCAGAATGCTTTGTGTGTAAATAAAATGGCCCCGTCCGTGTTAAAATGTACTTTTAAAAATTTACAAAACTAAACAGCCTACAGTATTTTTACAGTCTTTATTTTACAGTTAAAATATATGTTTATCAAATGAAGTCTAATGTTACAACTAATCAGGGATCCCTTTAAAACACAACTTTTATTCCATAGTTAAAGATTTACAGCTTGAAAGGAACAATCCACTAGAGTTTTAAATGATTAATCATCTTTATGTCTTCACTTTGTCCTCTTTCAGAACGCGGAGGGAAAGGGAATGTTGGACCGCTTCACCAGCCTCTTCCAAAGGAAAAAGAGTGGCAAAAAGCAACAATCAACCATCTCCACCAGTTCAAGTTCACCAACATCTCCTATTTCTCCCCGTTTCCACTCATCCCAGCAGGAGGATGAGCCAAAGACTCAGATTAATTCTCAAAAAGATGACGAGCTGATAGGGTCACTTTGTATGAAATCCAGAGCCGAGAGTGGCGACTCTCTGAGTCGGACCTCCAGCCCCAGCGCCTCCAGCGTGGTCTCTCTGAAGACCGATGACCTGGATCTTCCATTTGCAGACAGCCACAGCAGCGGCAGGAGCAGCGTGAGGGAAGTGCACGTGTGCCGGGTCAGCACAGCTGGAGATGAAGGGAACTCTGGGAAAGCAACAAGCACCGCTGTGGAKCTTGAATCTGACACTCAGCCAGTCGTTAATCCATACTCAGATTTAGACTTTGCAAAATCAGTGGTGGAGGAAGTTAGCAAGAGGCTGCAGGTTAATTTGAATGAAAACATGCCGAATTCCAGCGAGGAAAACGTTCTTAGCCCAACAATGCCAATGTCTGTTAATGTAGCAGAGACTCCGAAGTCTCCKAACTTGACCTGTATAAGCTTAGCATCAAAGAAAACTGAGGTGAGTGTTGGAGAAAGGGGACATCGCACGGCTTTAARGGGAATAACTTTGGGCTCTCGGTCAGCCACGTTACACGGCATCACAACTCAGCAGGAAACGCACGCTCCGGAAACAGAAAGACAAGACGCGGGGGTCGGGATATCCACCGACAGCCTGTCTGAGAAAACTGCAGCAGCGACGTGGAGCCCTTCACCTGAGATGCAGAAAATGCCAAGAGCGGATTCTCCTGTCCAAGTCCACAGAGCCATCTGGGTGGAAACGTACCTGGGAGAGGAGCAGGAGGGGGAGGGAGAACGACTGAAACAAGAGGAGGAGCTAAGAGCCGACTCGCCGCCTGTCCTGGCWATACCTGTGACTGTAATACCTGAGGATGATTCAGTATCACAGGAAGAGAGCCCCTTTGCCCCATCAGAGAGTTTATTAACCAGTGGCAGCTTGCCAGAGTCAGTCTTGGCAGCGACTTCAGAGGAGTTCCAGACAATTTCACCGCAGCCGGCAGAGCCCACCACTGGCATMATCTCAACACCGGGTTCACTTCAGGAGAAAAGCACACAGAGCGAAGCTCGTGTGACGCACACGACTGTGAATCCACCTTCGAAGAACAAAGTTTTTGCCCAGAGGGTGTTTATTAACCCTGCGCTGAGTTTGGAAGGAGGCGAGGAATACATCAGAGAGTCGACTCCTGAGCCCTCAAACCCAGCAGAGCTGAARCTGTGAGTACCGGGTCTGTTTTTACTTTCTGTGGTTTAACAGTCTCTTTGATCCTGGGAGAACCAGAAAGCAGGGAGCTGAGGAGAATTTAGCCTGAATGCAACCTGAGCCCTGTGTTCCCATGTTTCTTTGTACCAGAGGAGAACAATGGACTGAACTGGTTGGKAGGCACTGAAATATTCATTTACAGAAGGCAGTTGGCAACATTTTGCATTTTGTAAAACATACTTTAAGAAAACACCTAAAATTAATACGACCATGCAAACAATCCCATAAAAATAGAGCATCATTACTTTTAATTTAAAATATTGTATACTGTATTCATCACCAAAATGATTATTGTGATAAAAAAATGAGAAATTATATATTAGATTAACATAAACATATAGTTCAAAAAAGAAAATAAAAAATAGTTTATTTAGTATTTGACAGTTTTTGTTGCAAAATAAAGTTTACACAGTGAACTGTTAAAACTTTTGAGCAATTGTTCCCTCCCAGCTAAAGGTGGTCATGTCTGAACAAGAAGAGGTAAAAACATAAAATATGTATGACTTGGATGTGGCCATTGTGAAAAGTTTGCTTCCGGGATTGTAACTGTCTACTGTCTGGTATTTACAGCCTGACTTTCTGCAGTCTAAAGCGGCACACATGAATGGTTTTTTGTCTGTTTGAGGTTTTATCTTTGAGGGAACTCAGATCTGATCTTTTTGTGATTTTTTTTTAAATGAAATGATAGTTAGCATTTTGTTGAGTGAAGAAAAGATATGAAGTCAGTACGTTACCTGCAACAGTCAGCTGTCATCTTTCAATAAATCTGTGATCTCAGTTTAAAAAAACTGAAATTCAAGGATTTCTCAAACATGCATGAATGAGCCAAACACTGTATGCTGGGTATGTAATTGATGATGAGTTACATTGTAACATGAAGCTCACAAAAGTTGATTTTATATAATATCCTCCTTTAATGCAATCCTCTAAACCAGGGGTATCAAACTCATTTTCTCTGGAACAATCTCCCACTGTCTGTGAGGTCTGCTGGGTCTCTAAATGAGTTTAAGTCTCTGTTAAAAACTCATCTGTTTAAACAGGCATTTGAGTCTGAAGAGCAGGATCATTAGGCCAGCCTTTGCTGTTTTGTTTGATTTTATTGTTCATTTTATTACTGTACTTTGTTCATTGTTTTTATTTTATGCTCCTGTACAGCACTTTGGTTTTTATTGTGCTTTATAAATAAACGATGATGATGATGATGATTTTCACCCAGGGCCACATGAAAGTTATGGTGGCCCTCGAGGGGCCACTTTAATGAACTTTGACGTTTCATGTTAAGAACTAAGTGTACGACTGATGAAATCTGAAATAAATACAGAAATATTATTTAGTTTATGGTTGATGCTGACTTTAAGCAGCTTATTTTCAGACATTAATACTGTACTATCCAACTAAATTGTTCAGTTGCTTAAAGTCAACAGCTTCAGGGACAGGATTTTATTAAATTTATTTTTATTTCATTTATTTTTATTAAATTTATTTTGTTGCATTTAATCATAAATTTAAAGTTTACCATTGATAAAAGAAACAAATTTCATGCTACGTAAAATATTATATATATATATATATATTTGGAGGGGGGTACCCCACCCTGGCGGGCCACACGGGAGTCACCCGTGGGCCTTGTATTTGACACATACTCTAAACCCTGACCGCTGGTGTCATTTCATTTCTTAGTTTTTTTTAACAATCTCACAACTGATAAATAGTGTCATGGTTACTAGAAAAACTTTCTGCTTTTTATTTTAAATGATATGAMAAGTATAAAATATTGAATAGGGGTTTCACTATTTGAATCAGGTGTGTTTGAGCAAAGAAGCATGTAAAACGTAGGATGTTGGGCCCTGAGGATAAGGTTTGAAAACCCTTGTATATAACAAAGGGATAAGCCTGTTATGCGGATGGGAGGGGTCTTCTGCTATTATCTGTACTCAGTTGAAAATGCTAAATYTGGAGAAGTCATTGACAGAAGACAAAAATAAGACGAATCTGAAACMAGCAGATAACTCAGTTTAGCATTGCTTTAACTTAAAGCATTAGAATGTGTTTGTTATGTTTAAACAGAACCAGATAGACGTTTCTTGTTTGCTTTTCCTGGCCCCAGTTTCATATTTCTTAAGCAGTTAAGTGCAAAGATAYGCCCTGGATGTATGAACTGTAGGCTAGGTATTTATTTTTGCAATATGAGAATGTATGATYTAGTAATTTTTAATATATACTGTAAGTTAACACAACTTTGTGCTTTCTACTCTCTRCTTTTCCTCTGACAGGGTAACAAGCCTTGAAGACAACAATGATACTGAAACCAAAGACAACAGTGTTGAATCCACAACAAGAGAAGAGACCTCACAGTTTGTTACCATTACTCCTGAACCTATAGTTAAAGAGAAAACAGACTCTGAGGCCTCTGACTTTGGAGAAACCGCTTCTCCTTCAGACATGAACAAAACAAAGGTGCAAGCTGTGGAATCAGGCGTAAAAAGTCAAGGTCCCTCTAAACGAGGGGTTAAAGGAGCAACAGAAAGTCAGCATACCGCAGAACATGGAACAAAGCCCTCATCCACTGCAGCGGGAAGTAGGGTCAAGAATGTCACAAGAAAAGCTAAAGGGTTCATAGAGGTCACAAAAATGGAAACTTCCACTGATCATCCACCACAAAGGGAGCATAGTAGTGAGAAAACTGTGATTCCAGTACTAAAAGATCAAAGCATCTGTAGTGTCTCAAATGTAACAGGTGCAAAGTCTAAAATCCCTAAAAGGTCAGCATCTGAAAGTGAACCGAAATCTCCAGTGACTCCTGATAAAACCTCTTTGCCTGATGTTTCAGGGTCAGCAGTTATTTCAAAACTGCAAAAACAACCTAGATCCAAAGAACCTGTAAAACCGCCACCCAAACCTGTCAGGAAATCGAGTTTGGAGGACACTAAAGTTGGGAGGTCTGCTTCGGGAATTGTTTCTCCGACAAAAACCGTCTACAGGACAGGAATAAAACTCACAAGGGAAAAGTCAAGCGAGAACTTCAAGTCTGTAAACCTTGTGAACGACACGGTAAGGGAGCRCGAGCAGAGAAACTTGCAAACGGCTGACAGGGAAAGTGCTGACGTCAAAAAACAGCAGCTGAACCATCTGGAGAACAATGCTGCTTCTGCATCAAAGAGCCGCTTACCTGTTTCATCTCCAACAAAAAAGAGGAGCGATGATATAACTCAGACAAGTTGCAACAACTATAAAAAAGCTTTGTCCAGTCAGACAGACTTAGACAAGGCTGAAACAAGCCAGAACCAAAGTCTAGAACAACAGGATGTAACTCCTGATAATGAGGGCCCTGAAAGCAAGACAACTACCACGCTCCCAGAAAGTCCTAAGAAARGTAAGGCAATATAATCTCTGTTAGCTGAGACAGAAATCACCCTCTTCKGRTGTTATCATCCATTAAATGGACGTTATTAGTCGTTATCAGTCCCAWAGAATGGCTTCAGACTGTCCCGACTGTGCCGCCTAGTAGSTTCTCCATCCCATAGAATGGCTTTAGACTGTCAGCTGCTTAATATGAGGCATAAAGCCACCAAGGTTTTTTTATGCAATCTGGTTAATATGAGGCTTAAAGCCACTAAGGTTTTTATGCAATCTGATTAATATGAGGCATA